TCATGGGAAAGGTGGCATCAAACTGACTCGGAATGATAATTGAGATCAGATGTAAGGGGGAAATTTCCAGACAGAAGGAACAAATGTTAGGCATTATTATGCTCAGATTAAGTCAGGACTCTGCTTGAATAGGCCTTTCTTGCTGCCTACAGAGAGGAAAGGTTTGGCATTGAGGTCTTCAGTGGCTTTCAAAGCCCTGCTGAAATGACCTCTGTGAAGCTTCCTTAACTGCTCCTCCAAATGGACAACCATACAGGCTCCAAATACCTAGAACTCAGGTGTTCGTTAAATGCTTGTTCTCATCTGATCTCTTGGCATCCCTGAGAGGTTACTTGGGCGAGTATGATCGATTCCCACACTGTACCCAGAGAGTCTGGATTACTTGCTCAGAGTCGTCTAACAAATTAATACCAGGGTTCTAGAACTACATGATACACCAAATTAAGGAAGGCATGATGAGGGGAATCCTGCTGCTGAAGAGGGTGATGAGGGAAGAGGTAGGTGGAGAATAACCTCTGTCTGCTCAGCCCCCTACAGAAGCTAAGTAACATGGACCCGGCCATGCTAAAGCACCTCCTGAGCTTGGACCGTTTGCTGGGCTCCCAGGGGACCCAGGGGACCCCTCTACTGAGCACCCCGAGGCGAGAGCGGATGGTGCTCATGAAGACAGTGGAGGAAAAGGATTTGGAGATTGAAGTAAGTGTTGGAGAGGTGGGAGCTGGGATTCCTACTGGCCTTGAGAAGTAATCCAAGGATCTTCTGAAAGGGAAGGACACTGAAAGGTTGGACCAGCATCCAGTTTTCATCTAACACTGGAATCTCTCAGTTTTTCAGCTTCTGCTTGAATGTCTTTAATGTGCCTGAGCTTTGAAAAATAATTGAGATCAGATGTGAGGAGGTGAGCGGAAAAAAATTCCCAGCTCTCAAGTTAGGACTCTGCTTGAACAGTCCTTCCCTTCAGTGTTTCAAAAAGAGGCTTGTCCCACCTCTGGGCAGCCCCGATCATTAGAAAGCCCTGAATTATAGTGGGCTCCAGTTGTCTCTCCCATTGGTCCTCACTTTGCCCTCTAGGGCCTTGGAACCCTGCACACTCACTTTCCTAATCCGCTGTCCTTCAAGCTATCCTAAAGTTGGTTCTGGGTCACATCTCTCCCTGATCCTTTCCAACAGAGGCTTAAGATGAAGCAAAAAGAACTGGAAGCCAAGGTACTGGCCCAGGAAGCTGTGGACCCAAAAGAGAAAGAGAAACGATCTCCCACAATGCACCAACCCCTTGCCCGCCGCACAGTCACAGTAGCTAAGCCCCTTAAGAAGGCTGTGGTGATACCCCTACAACTAAGTAAGTTTGGCTATGAGAGCCAGGAGGGACCAGATAACTTCTCAGGAGGGAGGAGATGTTAGCCACAGCAATCCTCATGCCCTCCCACCATATGCCAGCTCAAGGGAAGCATGAGGAATATCTGAAATAGAGCTAATGCTCTGTTCTCAGGTGTTTAGTACTAGTACAATGAGGTAGACGGACAAGTGCATGATTATCATGCAGGACGAACTGAGGTTACTTTCAAATACTGGTATAAGAAAGGTCATGTTGAAACACAGCAAGAGGTTAACTTGGGGTGGAGAAGAATTGGGGAATCAGAAATGGGAGAACCAAGTGGCTACCAGGGAGAGTGAAAAGTAGCTTCCATAATGACTCCAGTTCACAATTCTTGCTTTCAGTACAGGAGCAGGCAGCATCTCCAAATGTTGACATACATATCCTGAAGAAAAGCCGCAAGAGAAAGGTGAGCTTAGAAGTAGTGAGCTCTAGTGGAAGACCACTAGCTATGGAGTTGCACAACTTGTCAGAACATTTATCAGCTATTTACAACTTCTCCAAGTTGCTTTCCCTCTAAATACAAAGATATCTCACATGGCATTTAGGATGAAAAATAGTGATATGAATGTACATAGAGTGGTTGTCTACTGTAACTTTCCTTCCTGATGGCTCTCACTCTCAGTAACTACTTACTAGTAAGGAGTGTAGCCTGGGTCCTGCCCTCTACACATAGGAAAACATGACTAAACACTCAAGAAATGAAACAACACTGGAAGAATTGCCTTAAACACTGAGATGGTATGGATGAGGGAGGTACTATTCGAGTGCCTTCTATGTGCTTTTCTAGCGGTGAAAGGCAGCATTTTCTTTTTTAGAAATGAGGGACCATTTCTAAAGAACTATGTGCTTTACATTAACTCATTTGACCCTCACAGCGACTCTATTACCATTCTTTCACAATTTGGATAAAGTGAGAATCAGTCCAGTGACCAGAGGTAAGAGTTTTTGGACAGACACTTGACAGGAAGGACAGTAGGGAGAGAGGCTGGAGAGAGCGCGGAAGGTACCTGCTGTTAGGTTTCCATCCTTGGCAGAAGAACCCAGAGCAGTTAGCTGCTGTGAGCTGAACATCAAACTACCGTTTTTGTCATTCACTTCCCCCTGCCTCATAGCTGGAGTGCCTGAATGGCTCAGAGCCGTTGGAGAAGGCTGAGGACTGCTGGGAGCTCCAGATCAGCCCAGAGCTACTGGTCAATGGGCGTCAAAAAATATTAAATCTGCTTAACGAAGGCTCAGCCCGGGATCTGCGTAGCCTGCAGCGCATTGGCCAAAAAAAGGCCCAGCTCATCGTGGGCTGGAGGAAGCTCCATGGCCCCTTCAGTCAGGTAATGGCCCATGAAGGGCAGCCCTGGAATGGAGTTGGATTTGTGGGGAATAGTCTGGTGGCCCATAGACTCCCCCCACGCCCATCGTTGTTGTCCTGCCAGGTGGAAGACCTGGAACGGGTGAAAGTCATGTCAGGGAAACAGCTGGAGTCATTCCTGAAGGTGAGCTTATGGCTTGGCCCCCTCCTCTTCCCAGCTTGAGCCCTGACCCGAGTCTAACGCTGCTCTCCCCTTCTTTCCTGTTGCAGGCGAACATCCTGGGTCTCGCCGCCGCGGGTCAGCATTGTGGCCCTTCCTGACTACCGCTTCTCTATTTCGTGTGTGTGTGTCCTATATTTAGTATAAATGCGTTTCAACTCCGTTGCTTCAGCCTGATTCTTGGGACTTGGGGCGGGGCCAGGGGTATAATTGCCCTTGGGACGGGCCACAAGCTCCGTGGGCTAACTCCTTTGGGCGCCATCTTTGGGAAAATATGAAGCAGCGCAGGATTGTAAATAAACCGCCCGAAGGGGAAAGGACGGTGGCCGATAGGAAACAAAAACCTAACACGAAAGCCCGAGGACAACGACCGTTATGCGGGAGCGCGCTTTGAGTTTAGCCCCGCCCCATCCGTACCCCCGGCGCGCGCACCTCTTCTCCCGCTCAACGACAGCGGTTTTGTGCGCGTGCGCGCGAAATAACGGCCACTGGCGGAGGGAGGAGGGGGGTGGAATCTTTGAAGTGGGGGGAGAGAAGCCGCCTTGTCTCCCTCGCGCCCACCACCTGCGCCATCGTTAGCCAATCAGCGGCCGTCTCAGGGGTCTCGCACTTGGGACGACTCGGGCTGCTGGGTGGCTCCTCCGCACCTCCTCCCGCTAGAATCCCTCGTACC